AATTTTTGCGATACTGATGCTTCTTCCCCAAGTCACTGGGGTCTGCCACATGTGCAGCAAATGTTGCATTCTTCTCCGACACCAATGCGCCAATCGTCGTATTGTTCTCATCAAACCAATCAGGCCGCTTACAGTTTGCGCGCCCGATGGTCTCCTCGGCAGCAGCTGTCACCTGGTCGCGAATGTAGTGCCACAGGTCGCCCACTGTGACTATGCATTCCACATCACACAGACGTGCAGCCATCGCCTTCTCCAGCTCAATACGTTTCGCCACAGTACCGAGGGAGAGAATATTAAATTTACGCCGATTCACGGCGGCAGTGCAATACATAGATTTACGAAAAGATATGTACAGTTTGGTCCGCATCAATTTGTGATCAGTGCCACACTCAGCTCCACGCAGTACACGTGCCATGCGCGCTTCACCCAAGACGCTGACGTACGATGACATAGTCGAGCAGGTGAGCGTGACCACTCCGTGGGTGCGTCCAAGTTGCCATATCACTCGCACTCAGTGCAAACCGAGTGTTCGTGATCGTCAGTCCGTGAGTGGCACACAGTGAGAGCAGCCTGTCACCGTTCGTATTCGCTGAACCAATGCCATGCGAACCGATAACATCTGTCCACATGGATGCATCACGCCCAACGCGCGCGTTGAAATCACCCAGCAGAAAAAGTCGGTCGCTCCTCAGCACAGACTGTATCACATAGGATAGCTGAGTGTAGAATTGATCACGCGTGTCATCAGGATAACAAATGGTCGGACCGTGCGTGCTTATAAAAGTGGCAAACTTACTTCTCCCGAGTCGTAGGCGAACAGACATCAGTCGCGCGCTGATGCCTGTTGGTTCACCCTCCAGCTGGCCATGGAGGCGATCGGATATTGCAAATCCGACCCCATGGTCACGTGGTGCTAAGGCGGCGTTGCCCATCCAGTAGAATGTGTAGCCAGCACCTGCTTCATGCAACTTAACTTGCTCAGCGAGCCGAGTTTCACTGAGCGCCGCAATATCGATGTGCTAACGTGCCAGCTCCATCGCAGCCAGTGCAGTGCTTCGCTCGGGACGCTCACTGGAGTTCCGGTCCAGTAGTGTGCGCACGTTCCAGCACCCGGCCGCTGAGGGTTTTGCGCGCAGGCATACGATTGCATTGGTGGGAAATCGCACGCGAGGTGGTCGTTGTGGTTAGAGGTTTGCTTGAGGGACGCCACCCGGAGCCTTTGGCTCAATAACCTTACCCACAAGGCAGTGGATGATTTGGAGGTTTGCTTGAGGGTCTCCGCCCGGAAACTTTGGCTCAATAACCTGACACACAAGGCAGTGGGGAGCAGATCCAGCTCGATCAATGTGATTGCAGAGAGAGATTGGGATCTGCTTGGCGGTCGTCACACGCAGCTTTTGAGGTACTAGAATGATTGATATATGTTTTGCGACCGTAGTAGGATACACCTGCGATCACGGCCAGACGCAGGTAGGTTTTGCCGGGTTTGTACCAATTTGACCAGGGGTTGCCTGGCTTGAGGCGGGCAGTAGCAAACCATTGAACACCCGGAGGTGCCCTCCCATCGTCAGAGACAATGCGTGGCGCTCGTGCTCTACGCCAATCGAGCTGTGGGCTTATAACCCGTAGACCTGTTGTCTCCCATGGCTAGGTTTTACGGGAAGAGGGCCATCGACCATTTCCTAACCTCCGAAGAGGATGGACTAGGATACTGGCAGGGTGCCCACACCTGACAAGAGAACGACTCGGGTCCTCAGCCAAAGCATTCGATTAAATGTACACTCGAAAGACAGCGGGTCTAGCACATGTTCAGTTCACTGACTCATGCGGATTGGTGTCCTGGATCTTAGCAGGGAGAAGAGCGTAACCCAACTCCCACCCAGCGGTCGCCACGAGGAGGCGTCCAGGACATGAGCCAATGGCGCAACAGTAGCGGAAGTGGGTAGATCATCTGTCAGGATCTAGCGGCTACCAACCTTAGCGCACCGTAGGCTCTCCCGCCGATTACATACATGGTTGGCGGCATCCGGTTTCGGATTTGCCTGTCACTGTGGTCAGCCACAGGACGCCTGCGCCTACAGAGGGACCATGGATGGCTTGCGCTGCACCACCCACAGCTCCATCCACACACCCCATATCCAGTGTAAACCCGAAGGAATAAGACCGGGAGGCATGCGGATGGGAGCCAGGTTTCATCAACGGAGCCGGCCCACACTCCTTCACAGACAAACACAAGCACGCTGTATTTGGGGAATCAAGCGCACACAAGGCGGTGGCTGGACCGTAGTCCGCTCCACACTGAGTGCATGGAACCACTCTTCGAGCCTAGCACGACCGCAAGGACCGTGCACCCCGTCCCCTCCAGCAACGACCAACTGTCTCCTGGAGCCAGTATGGACGAGGTAGTGGGTAATAGACAGGTAGGCACCTTGTCAACATGCACATCAAGCGCAGCCACACCTGGATGTCAAACAACAGCCAATCATTCGAAATGCCGATATCGATTAAAGTAAACGCATATGACGACATAAATACTCGCTAAATGAGCATATAGAAGAAGTCGGTTATAAGTGAATCCGTGATAAGTACAAAATGTCCGAAAGTTATTTAAAAAATACCACGCGATAAAATTACGCAAGTTTACCACAATTTGCGTGAGCGACGTGCAAGTAAGGAGAAGATTATCAAGTACGCAGAACAAACCAAATAACATGTAACGAATTTTATCCACATTAAAAAGAACTAGTTTAAGTGTAAGTTGGTTTAGCCCAACTGCGGTGAAGAAGCATCATAAATGCAACATCAGCCTCAGCAAGGGGCACATACATACATACTAAGATATTCACATGTGAACGTTATCCTTTTATCTATTGCTTTCTTTGACATCTCAAAAGCCTTTGGTTTCGTCGCCCACGCTTCGCTGCTTCGCGGAGCCCCATCTTTCGAGGCGCCCGCTTTTCCTCTACATTACTCAACATGTTAGTACTCCTCCGGAATTTCAATCATCGACGGTCTGAGGGTTCACCCAGAGCGTGGAGTCCGTCAGGGAGACGCAGTTTCTCCCTTGCTCTTCCGCATGGCCCTTGAGGAAGCAATACACACACAAGCAGGTCCAAGCGATCATGTAGCTTATGCAGATGATGATGTGCTATTTGATCGTGACCGAGAATCGCTGATCGAATACCTAGGGTGATTTAGACAGGATATACGGCATATAAAATCGACGGTACTGGATAACACCACTCACAGCAATAAAAAAATTGTTTATTTTGAACACTGCGCCCTCCAGATCCCCTCGATCCGGCCATCCGAGGAATTCCGGCTACTTGGATTACCATTTGATTTTAAGGGTAAACGCCTGTCAAACTCGCTAGACCAACTGAGAACAGAACTGCAGAAACTGTCTCAAGCCGCTTCAAACCCTACCATCGCATAGATATTTTGTGTACCTATGTTTGACCGAATCACACACATTGCTTCTTATTAGTGGTGATGCATCGGCAGACTTATAAATCGATGAATAGGCTGGTCTGGGCAAGTATATGAAAATGGCTAAGACTTCCCAAGGATACCAGCGTCGCTTTCTTTCATGTATCAATTGAGGATTATGGCCTACGGGTTCCGTGCCTTCCTATTATGATCGCATTGATACGGAAAGACCGCGTGGAAAGCTATCTTTCACTCTTCCACCCAATTACCAGCTGGGCGATAAGCGAAGCTTCAGCGGCTAACATCCAGCGTCTCGCCATGAAACCTGTAAGCATTGGGAGTCAAGTGGTCTTTGACAAAAATGACGCTAAGGAAGCATGGAATAATTCACTGCTACAATCTGTAGCCGCGTCCTTGCTTCGGGGGTTATTTACGACGCCAGCGTCTCATAGCTGGAAAAGAAACCCAAAGCGAATCTTCCCAGACTCTAAATCAGAGGAACCCAATTTCGAGCAGGGGTGCTGTCGACAAAATCTCGTTGCTCCAGAGGACAACCACCCCCAAACCCAACCGATCTTTACTGCCGGGGAGCTTGCGGACAAAACCAAACACTTTCCCACGTTTTGCAGTCCTGTGCGATAACCCACGATGCTCGCTGTAAGAGACACAACCATATGGTGAAGAAACTGACCAACACCCTTCGTTGTAAAGGAGACTAAATCATCCCGAAGCCCCGCATCCCAGCGGCATCAAGGTACATCAAACCGGATATATCCGTTATCAAGAACTCCACAGCACACGTAATAGACGTGGCAATATGCGACACCTACAGAATGTCCCGTAGCTACCAACTAAAAATTGACAAATACAGTGTAGGTGCTCATGCGGAAGCCATAGCCCGCTTTGTGCGCTCGGAATTTCCTACGGCATTAGATATCCTGCATCAACCGATAATCATCAACAACGGGGGTCATATATTCCCAGCCTCCGCCAAGCACGTTTCGGCACTGGGGCTCACCAAACTTGACATATTCGAGTTGTGTGTCTACCATGAGAGGATTCCTTCAAGTTTACAACACCTACACGCGGGGTGCAATGCCACAAAACATATCACACTAATACCGTACACCCACGTTCGCGAGCGATTCTGATCAGTTCTTGCATTTTATCTGATTACTGTTGCAACATTACGTCAGGACATTTGTCCAATTTCGGCGAAGTTATGTTATTCCCATGCCTTAGAGCAGGCATGAATTTGTCGAAAATGTTCATGGACCGCGATTCGCAATGAAGTGAACCTTGGCCAATTCGATCACTAGGACCGTAGCTGATGAAAATTGGGTGTTGCCCGCACGGAAACACTACACTTCACGATGGGTTGCGATCTTGATTAGATTAAAAAAATCCAAAACTAACAGTGCAGTGCAGAGAGGGACAGGTGATTAAAAACAAGGCTGCGTCATAAGCAGGAAAGATGATGGATGTGGCATCCAGGGAATGTAATTTGGACGCAGATTAAAGTAATTGGTAGATAAAAAGAGGTCAGGCCCGACAGAAAACACAAGACTTACTTCCAATTTTAGGCGCCTCTCCAAATCTTCCACGGTTTTCAAACAAAACGCCGCAGTAACCAGTATGATACAAACACGATGAATGTCCTCTGCGGTGAGCCGCGCCAGCTGTAAAAGGAAACGAAACTTTAACGTCTCCGGAGTAACTTTTCACCATGCGAGCTTCAGGTGGTACACTTTAACTTACTAAGAGTTTAAGGTAGAGATGAATGTATTCATGCACAAAAATACATGTTTCATGTGACATTAACCGTTCTGTGGTTGAAGCCAGCAGTTCCTTTGGATGGGAACAAAATACATAAATGATATGGTTGAGGTGGTCAATGGAACCGCGGTTCATTCAATGAATGAAAGCTTCCGATTGCGAGTAGCATAGCATGGGAGAATCACTGCAAGTTGTATGGAATACAAAATGAAAGGTGCAAGCAAGGACGTTAGTCAGTACATTTATATGGCGGGGAATTGACAAAATACGTGGTTCGTTAAGCTGATAAAGATGAAATTCCAATTACTCAGTAGTTGAGCCGCATTAATGAGGAAGAACTATTGATGAACGTATGTATGTGGGCAGAGACTGCAGGGATTTTCAGGTGGATCGTCAACAGATGGCGCACCACTCCAAACAAACTACAGTGGAAACCAATGCGACAATCCTCGCAATCACCGAAGACGCCACAAGGTGACAGATAGAATATGGCATTGATTGAAGCCCGACTGTGAGTGGATAGTGCATACAAACGTGGACACACAAGAGTGAGAGGAACACGGAAAAGAAACCCCTTTCGGAGACCTCCAATTGCTGCAGATAAGCCGATACTGCTCTACAGATGCGATGGTCAACAGTGTATGGTACCTAGCACACATGATGTTACGAGGTGAGATGGATTGTTTAAATAAGCAGTCAAAAATCCAGGAGACAGTTGGTCGTTGCTGGAGGGGACGGGGTACACGGTCTTCGTGGCCGTGCTAGGCTCAAAGAGCGGTTCCATGCACTCAGTGTGGAGCGGACTACGGTCCAGCCACCGCCTTGTGTGCGCTTGATTCCCCAAATACAGCGTGCTTGTGTTTGCCTGTGAAGGAGTGTGGGCCGGCTTCGTTGATGAAACGTGGCTCCCATCCGCATGCCTCAAGATCTTATTCCCTCGGGTTCACACTGGATATGGGGTGTGTGGATGGAGCTGTGGGTGGTGCAGCGCAAGCCAACTATCGTCCCTCCGTAGGTGCAGGCGTCCTGTGCCTGGCCAGAGTGACAGGCATATCCGAAACCGGATGCCGCCAACCATATATATATCAGTGATCAAACACAAACAGCTGAGCAGGACAGGCGGGAGTGGTTTCAGTAGAGGTCATATCATCTATACTGGGTAGCTTAATTTAACACATCGTAAGTTTGGGCGGATTCGGTGATGCTTTCAGTTTCACATCACTTATCTTGATGTTAATTCACTCAGTATGTTTTTCTTCAAATATGAGGTCTAAGTGAATGCCCAACAAGATACTTTTATGCATCGAAGAAGAAGAAAGGAGCGGATCAGGAAGCGAACTGTATCATATGTTGTTTAAAAAAGGCTGCGTGAAGTACTTTTAGGTCGTTAAAGGGCGAATATCTTAATTCCGTTTGTTGTGGATAGAAAAGTTCGTGAATTTGTTCGAAATGTATGCCAGTTCGTGCATGAATTATAGCCAATCGAAGGGAGAACACTCCTCTGGCTAGTGCGAACCGCAAGATTCTGGAGACCTGCAACTCACTAATCCCCGTTCGATTGAAATCACTGCGTAAAATTGAGAAAATTTTATTGTGTTCGTATTTTGCATAGCTACGGACATTGCATGCCATTCACCCACACACAGCTGCATTGATTGTCTACATAATTAACGAATGGTATCAGGAGTCTGGCCACTTCAGTGCAGCACTCAGTACTGAATCGATGCGATGGAAGTGCTATCCGACTAAACCAGAAATGAAAAACTTGATGAATACAAATAACTAATACAGTAACTTGGAAAACTGCTCGGTTTAAAAATAATACGTTGCTAAGAAAGCAACTATGATGAACATGAGCGTCAAGTATGGTAAACTCCACCCTACGCCCACTGATGATGATTGGCACACTAAGTCATCAAGATCACACCAGAAGCACGCATAGAAATGGTCATTGCTATTTGGTACGGGGCACATACATTTACCAATGGATGTGAGGCTTTACGTTCCAAGCGTTGTTAAATGATAACTTCGTATTATGAATTGTGAGTTCTTCGCAGAAGCTTCCAAACCAAGCTAGACCGTACATAGCTACTGCTGGGGAAAACCGTAACTCCGTGGCCCAACTCTGTCCTCTGTAAGGTTTGTAACATGCATGACAGTGGAGGATGAGCCGCGAAACAAAGCAGTTAATTTGTAAGTCATGACGATCTGCGATCGTCACCTGCGACCTAGAGGCATAAGTCACCGGCTAGTGAAGCAAGCCGCTGGTGTCGAAAGACCATGAATTTGGTTCCTAATGTAGCTGAGCGGTGTGCACTACTAAAAAGTACCGAGAGGGCGAAATGGCCGCCTAGTGCTTTTCCGAATGTGTGGCAGCCTGTCTGACTTGGAAGCTACTGCGAAGAACCCTGGATTAATCAGAGTAAAAAGCTCCTACGTACTAGCAAATAGTTCGGATTACGACAAGCCTTTCGGGAGAGGATCATACGTTCAGATAAAGAAAATGAACCTCTATCAAGAGAGAGCAGACTGCGGTATCTGCGCAGTAGACGAAAATCATGCTTACTGGTTGGTCATCTCGCAATAGATTTGCAAAGAGCTGGTTTGCTGAAACACCGCTTTGATCCGAGGGGACGGTGGGGTTACGAGTGTGAGATTTTGAGCCGTCCGAGGGAATAGTACCTGGGGTTTGGCTACGTCCAATTCCTGTAAATGTGCGGAAAGGGATCACAGTGCGAAAACAAGGTGATTGAGATCAACGGTTATACCCCGTGGATGAGCCATATTTAAGGTAAATGAATTGATGAGGAAGACCTTTCGGGGTGTGGAAATCTGGACATCACCGACTCACGCTCCGACTGTGTTGGCCCAGTGAACGCCACATCCCACCTCAAGCAAGCACAAATGGCAATATGCAAATGACAGACAGGAGCAGATAGCATGTATCTTTTGATTTATGAAAAGGCAAAGAGGATGTGAGCAGCTAACGGCCATACCGGTAAGAAGAACCTAGGCGGAGATAGAAACACCTCGCACCACTCATCAGAATAAAAACACAGCTGCTGCCGTGTGTTGCCACGATCTCTATGGCTGTATGCCGTCCTTGTTGCTAGGTTCAAGGGGAATAAAAACGCATTGACACAATGTCGCCGTATGGCTAGTTTTGTTGCAATCGAATCTTCTCGCGTTCAGTTAGATCAGGTGGATCAATTATGACCTACTCCATGAAGTGTGCTCCAGTCAGTTGTTTTCGCGCACGCTGCAAAGTTGTGGTGAGGTTAGTAGTAATGACGGAAACACAAGAACAGGAATTGCCAAATCCGTGGCAGAGTGACAGGATATCAGACCACCGAGGTGGAACCCATCCAAGAAAGCAATAAGTGCCAACATAACTCACTTCGACGGGCCTCTTCACGTTACTTTGACATGTCATTGATTAACTAACTTAGGGTACCAGTATTGACGATGTAGGGGCGAGTGAGTTGGCTTTCAAAAATACAAAGCAGGTGAGTTAGTGAGACACCAAAGGACCAGTTGTGAGATACCATGTAATGAATTTCAATAACGCTTGCTTAGCCCTCCCAGGTGCGTGCAATAGCTTGCTGACACTGGTGACAAGACCTGTAATATCTGCAGCGAACAGAAACTGCGGATGACATGCTGACGCGCGCAACAGTATTTATCACTCTATACGGCAGCGGCTGAACAGCAGATAGGTTTAACCAAAGCAAAGCTAGGTTATCTGTACACGTTAAAGAGAACGACCTCAAAACCATGAATGTCGTGAGTCATTGACTCAGCATCATCAGGGACGTAAAATAAATGTGGCCCACCACAGGGACCACAGGCTAACAAACGCAGAAGTATAAAAACATTGTTATCCTATTCAAGGAATTGTAAAATCCTAGCTAGTTTCAGCTGTTGATAGACGTAGGATAGCGCGTGACACTAATAAAACGATCCTATGTGAAACCAGACACTAAGCTTAAAATATTGTGTGGTTTACTAAAGAAGAGAACCAGCGAAAAAGAAAACGAAGAAGAGGAAAGATAATTAGCGGCCTGACTTACGACTAGATGTTAATTCTCATCCTTTGATTCAACAGTCTGATCCACTGGGAGCTCGTTCAGCTCAGGAGTGCGACTAAGTGATCAAATCAGCATCTGGTTGAGGCGTGTCACAAAACAGCCTTGGGGTTCCGAAATAGTGTAGTTGGATTTTGGCACCTGTTTGACCAAGGGTTGCCGGGTTCGAGATGAGCGGCAGCAAGAGTAAGTGGTGCACCCACCATCAGACACAAAACGTGACAACCGTGCCCAACCTAAATCGAGTAAAGGTCTTAGCGCATAAGCTGGTGTCTCCAATGGTTAGATTTTAAAGGAAGAGGGGCATTGATCTCTCCCCAGGCGACGAACAAAAGGGTGTTAAGACTGAGTTGGCCTGACATTTAGCCACTGACCGGCGTGATAAGAGCGACTTTGGAGGCGATCGGAAAGTATCTTCTAGCGTGCCTAAGTGGATCACGGAGGCACCCAAGACTGCACCAGGTTGGCGCCTAAAAAAGTAAAAAGTATCAGCAGTACGCCAGTACACAGTACCGACGCTTTGCTTCCGCGCAACCACCACCAGTCGCACGTAAGCTAAGGATACTGCGAGGGTCGCCCGGTCCCTACGTAGGCTCGAACCTGCGCCCTCGGATAACAAGGCAGGTTTGCGATCCCTAAAGCTACGGGCCGGCGGTTAGTGCCCAGACTAGTCAAGGATCATAAGGGGTAAATCTTTTCAAACATCCGTTTCTAGCAACGGAAAATCCATGAGCTACGAAGCGGCTGATTTTGAGACAGCGAATGCATTTAAGCGGGGGGGGAGTGAAGAGCAAAACGGTATCTGGATTCTGTGAATCAAGAAAAAAGTGCGTGTGTGAAGGTTCACACAAAGGAATCTCACCGAGAGCGGAGAGGCCACCAATACTAAAGGCGGCCACTTTTGAGGTCACATCCGGCGCAAACCAACCGGCACCAGCTGCGCCGATGGTGAGAGAGGGTAAGTGTATACCAGGGACTTGGGCGAGTAGAACGGCAACCGCGTACTCCGATAAGTATTGACGGAGCAGACGCACAAGACCAAGAAATCCGCTGCCACGATTCAGCTGCAAGGTTTGCTTAACAATTTGCTTGTACAGTAGAAACAGCTCGGTGGCAGAAGACAACGTATTCTCACCGGAATCGCTCCCGGAAGCCGATGTGGCACCCTCTTGGCGAGGTTATTGGGGGAAAGAAGTAGGAGAAAAAAGGTACATTAACGATGGATGATTCGTGAGTAATTATGAAAGCCTAATGTCAAAAAGACAATAAACCAACGGATTCAGAAGGCTGTCATACTGTGCACGAATATGTTCAACGGAACTTATGCCTAAATACAGATTAAATAGAGACTAGTACCTGTGCGACACTAATTGGGAAGGGAAAAGTGCATGACATATTGGGAAAGACAGACTGATGTGAAAATATCGCAGAGAAACCCTTGTTCAAGTGTAAACGGGCGCTAACCGAAACACCCTTCCAACAGCGATCGTTTATGGTTAACAGCTAGCATCATAATAGGGAGCGTAAAATGTCATCCGCACTGAGTCCAAGAGGGAATTGAGAGATGAATCATCCAGTGATGTCGTAATAATAAAGAACGTGGCTGCTATCAGACGGTAGTGGTCGAAGAACGACAGTGAAGGGGGGATAAAAGAAACTGTGGGGAGGTAATAGAGGCGCGTGTATGTTTTTATTTAGTTCATCGCAATTAGATTACAAGCCGCATAGGTGAGCTAACAATCCGGAAAAGAACCAGACGATTTATTCGTCCTATTGGGACTCGTCAGTGGTGCGCATTCTCTCAGTCCACTGTGTTTTGTCGACTGCCTGTTATGGATGGTAATGAGATGCAACTGTAAATTTAACGAAGACATTTGAGTGGGGCAAACAGAGACGTTATAACCACACTGGCGGATTATCTTTCTGGAGATAACAACGCAAAAACACCAGGTCGGATCTAGTGGTCGGAGCCATGGCAGTGATGCTTAAACGGATGAGGTCTAAGCGCATCTCTGAAACTACGAATTTCTTCTGCAAATCATCTTTGACGTAACCTGAGCCACCCTCTGAAAGAATGAATTCAAAGACGGTTTTGTTTAACGGTCCGTTCTGATGCAAATGCTCAGAAGCTGGGAGCTTGATTTTCTATGAGCTGGGTGTTTTAGCTGCAAGACATTTTACTATCATACTAATAAATATCAAGTTGCGTTGAGAGGTCGGTATCCTAAAGTGGTTAGGAAAGCACTAAAAATATTGTCGAAATGTTGATTCAACTAATCTGTAGGTAGGAAGAAGCAGTTATTACTTAATAGTCTTGAATTACATCCAACATGGGGCCGTACCGCAGAAGTGCGGCTACTCAACGTGACGTCTTTCAAAAGTGACAGGATAATGGAGTGGACCACACGAAGGCTCCCCAAATGGTACCACGAGACAGTGCCATGAAGTCGATTTGCGGAACAGCCTCACCAGTTGTGAGCCAGTAGCTCAAGGACAAAAGGTTGTGACCCAAAAGATCCTTTGTGCATACAACCCCCCTTGCCCGCAATGGACAAGGGGGGTTGGGAAAATCGCCCAGGACATTTAAAACGATGCCAGGTTAATGCACTAGGTGAAAAGCGATCAAAGCAAGGAGCACGAGATCCTGCAGCCTACGCACTGAATATCCGGAAAACACAAAAGAGCGGTTGGAGGCTATGAAGTGGTGAGAGCAGTGATAAGTGCTATTCACACACAAAATCCGGACCAAAATGTATAAAAAATTTCTAGAGGAATTCTGTCCACTCTTGCCGTTTAACGATAGCGAACAAATCTCATTTCCGAAGTTGGACACTAATCAGTTTGATCACATAGGCACGAGGAATAGACAACTCTCCAGATCAGCTAAGCGAGGTTAACTCGTTGGTGCTCGTTGCAGCCGCATGTACCATGTAGTATTAGCCTGACAGTTGGTTCTAGCCGTACACATCGAAATAACAGGCACAGGGACAAAAAGCCGGTAACCAGTGTATGGGGGAACTGGCTGTTAAAAACAGGTAACTCACTGTCGACGTACCTGCAAATTTAAAAGTGTCAACGGATTCACGATTAACCAAAGTGGATTTGTTCACGGTGAAATCCCCAATCAAACGATTGTGCAATTGATCGCGAAGCACCTTCTCAACGTGGTTCAAATATAGGTCGAAATGTGCATCAAAGCAGCTGAGCCAAAAGAGTAACAAGGGAAGTAAAAGCTGTCAGAGAGCAGCTAAGCAATTTCGGTGCATTAGAGAAGGTTTGCCACAATCAGACATCATACATGAGGAAAACGGTTGACAATAGTTTCGTTTTATCTGGAGTAGTCAGCAGCCAAAACCTGCTGGATTCAAAAGCATGATGTTCCTCTTACAAGTCTGAAAGTTAAATCACTGAACCACGAATGGTGGCGATGAGCTTTTACAACTGATGGCTAGCTGCGATACAGCGCGGCTGATCCCTCTCTAATACTCAATACCGTCGTGCTAAGGTGGCTAGCCCCCAGTGACCAGCTCCCTAGCTAATCCACTAATTTCTTTGTGGGACTAAAAACCAACTCAGGTGGTTATTGATTAGCAGAAAGTAGCTATTAAGCAACTATGACAGTTCACCGCAGTCATTCATGACGCATCTGCTCAAGTCGCCACATTGTTTAAATCATGGGTTCAAATCAAGTAGGATAAAGGCGAATGCGCGTTACTGACGCGTTACAGTAGGAGTAGATCACTGTCCAGTGTGGTGCCTGTCTGACTGAATCCAGCTGCGATGACCTTTGGCAAAAGATAATCGCCACCGAGTGATTCGAGCTCCGTGATGCGATGGTCTCCATGCCGCAAGAGACAACACAGTAGAGAGCGGTACAGAGATTAACACAATGTTTCGTTTAAAGATAGCTACATAGTAAGGATTAAATAAAAAGTAGTATATTCGATGTCAATGAGTAAATAAGCTTGAGGTGAACAAACTATGACAACCATGAAATTCCATAAACAGTACTAATAGGGGATAGAATCTCGGCTCCGCATTAAATCGAAAGGATGAACGGGAACTTGAAGAAGGAAATAAGTTGAGGATATAAAATCAATTGGACGTGATAGATGGTAATGCATGGCGCAGCAAAAGCAGAGATGAATAAGTTTAAAGAGCAACAGCGAATATAACTAGTCGGCGGCGTCATCTCGAGGGATGGACACTGTAAAGACTATATGAAGCCTAGACTAGATAATCGTAAGGCGTGAGACAAGGAAACTGTAGGTTAACAATCTATACTATACGCACGGTCTGGGCAGAGAAATTAAGACGTAAATTCCTGTTACCATGGTCCTATAATAGGAAGTAAATACAGTAATCGATTTGCGAATAACCTTGCAATCGTAATAGGAAAGGACAGAAACTGCAAGACTTGCGGCGGCGTGGCAAAACGGTACAGCAAAGCAGTTAGCTAATCGGCAGACTGTCAAGGATGAAATGTTTGACCTTGAGCAGTCATGGATATGCCAGTAATGCGATGAAAAGGTAAAGTTTCATAATACAAGTGTTAGAAGAAAACATGCATAAATTGCTGTAAGGATGTAAGTGAAGGGTTTGGGAAAAAGGGATATTGTGTCCTCAATAGGCAAATCAGTTTGGCTGAACAGTCAAAGTTCTCTTTGGACTTTACAGACATGATTTTAGGAATGGATATAAAAAGAAAAAGGGAAAAAATCAAGGCACTTCGTGATTCAGTGCAAAAAAACCTACAAAAGCTAGTCTCAGCTTGGTCATACCAAGCGTAACAAGATATAGGTAGCAATAGGTATGGAAGAGCCAACGAACGGGTGAAAATTATTGAACCGACAGTGAAACATTCCATTCAACAGGCTTGCTATATTATCATCCATCGTGCGTAAATGAAGACGGTCGTTCGCCAATGCATAGGGAACACAGCGGAGTCTACTCCGGTGAAGTCGGACGCCGGTCGAAAAAGTTGTGTAGGTGCAGGGCAGTGATTGACGCGCCCAGTGTGATAGAGCTGAAAGCCGACTATCACTTCGCTGGCTTTTGGAAGTCAAGCAATCCAATGCAAATGGTTGAGGTATGGTACATACCACCTTGCAAAGCGTCCAAAATACGAAGTCAGTCAGCAGACCTGGAGGCAACAGGTTGGCAGTCGGGTGGGCTGCGGGCGCCGAACAGATGCCTTTCCCTGCACCCGTCAGAAACCCTAACTGTGGGGTTGGTGAATATATGCGCATCCTCGGTATCCATAGAGCTTAAAACGTGAAGCGTGAGACCTGTACAGTGTAAAGGCGTTTAGAACGACTTTGTGGAGCAGCGGAGTGAATAACAACGTCTCGTTACACCATGTGAAATGATGCAGTTCCACTTTTCTGTTTCTATCCAAGTTCACATGAATTGATGGTGTTGTCATTAGGGCCTTTGGCTCGGGGTACTTCGAGGGTACGGCCGCACTCAAGAAAAGTTGAGGACACATGGACGAGCATTGGGTCCTTTGGAAATATAGGCGTCACTATGTGACATTTACCGAACCAGAGTATGAACCATATTCTCAAGAGTAACAGGAGGGTGAGCAAAAGCTCATCTTGTGTGGATGACATACAAAATTAAAGGAACCGCATCGAAGTTGGCAGCCGTGGCAGAGAAGGGTCAATCAAAATAGATAGGCCAATGTCCGTGGGCACAATTTTCAGTTTGCTGATTAGACGTGTGTTGCGTGTGTGAGAGTTGTGAGATTGGCTGTATCCTGTGGCCGTAATACATAGCGCATGTGCGATGGAGCAGCTAAATTCAACAAGATAACTAAGATTTGAGCACCGAATTGCAAAGGACCGCATTAACCTGACCAAAGTAATCAAGGTGAAAAACGAAAGGAAACCCGCCTGCAAGATCCGATCTCCGTGCTTACCCTCCAATCCCCCAAATGCGACACTGGCAAAACATTCTCAATGCGCTTGTTTGAAGATGACGCAGCTTCGAATGCCGGTCAAGCTGGCGTGAGCATTGTTGCGAGTCCCCGGGCTTCAGCTGACTTGATCGATTGGATACCAGTCAACACTCGGATGTGGGTCATTAGACCGGCTGGCGCGTTCCAGGCTTCGAAGTCGCGGGGGGATAAGCGGTGCCTGCATGTCATTGCGGCCTACGTGCTCACAAACTGTAGCACTGATCCGGTGAAAGATGAATTCTATCACCAACTGAACGCGCTCCTTCATCACAGAAAAAGTACGGATACCATGGTACATGCTGGTGATCTGAACGCCAAAGTCGGAAATTTGTCCTCTGATGAGCTTCATCTGGGCGGCCAACACGATGTAGGCTCCCGTAATGATAACGGTGAGCGGTTGTTACACCTTTGTGAAGAGGCTCATCTATCTCTCCCGAGCACTGATTTTCGAAACAGCACTCGCAGAAGAGTGACTTGGCGCCCACCAGCCTCGGAGCAGCCATGGACGCAAATCAATCACATGCAACCAGTTATCGCCAGAGAGGCTGCATCCAAAACTGTCGCTCGATTTGGAGCACGAGCGTAGATTCAGATCACGCTCTTAAGTGTGCCGACTTTCTGGTGCGTTTCGGCAGAGGTCCGCAACGTCACTGTGCGCGCATAGACCTCAGCCAACTAGCGAAGCCAGGTGTTCTGAATGCGTATTAAAGTACGCTGGCATCCGGGATGAGTAAGCACCCATTGTACAACGTTGAAGATCAGTGGTCGCATATTCGCCAGACGTTACTATCAGCAGTCATATCTTCATGTGGCAAATCAAAATTGTCAACCTAAACATTGGACGTCTACACATTCTCCGGAACTTATACATGTTCATCGGCGTGTTCCAACTGGAAACGAACATAATCAGACCCACAAAAACCTCGGAGAGAACTGCGTGTTAGCCCGAAGAGAGACCGCGAAGTCTGGTGGTCTCATCGTGCATGGGGAATGGAAACAGCCGCGGCCGTTGGTAACTTTCGTAAGTTATTCCGACTAACAGGGAAGCAGGCAGCAGGAGAGCTGGTGTTATCGAAACCATATGCGAGGAGAGTGGAAAGCCAAGCTACAGCTTGCCGAAACGCTAGGAGCGTTGGGCCGAACAGTTTGAGAAGCAATCCAATCAGTCAGAGCTGTCGGCTTCTCCATCGGCCATTGATCACCCTACTCCCTGGGCCGCCTCTGTAGATCCGTCCTCACGCACAGAAATCGACGAGAGAATCGTTGCAGTTGAGTAAGGTCGCAGGGGCAAATAGAATTTCTGCAGCCCCCTTGAAATTCGGGGGACCTACTCTTGTTGAGGATGTACACGACTTACTAGTGAAACTATGGGATCAGGAAGCTGTACCAACAGACTGCAGCCGCTCCGTCACAGTCCCAATTTTCAAAAGAGGCTCACGTTCGGAATGCGGCAATCATAAAGAGACCAGTCTGATCTCAATAGCCTCTAAACTGTTTGCGTCTGTCGTTCTTCAAAGACTGAATGGCACTCGTGAAAGTCAGGTTCGCAAAGAGCAAGACGGATTTCGTCGAAATCGATGCTGCGTTGACAATATCACTACGTCAATTGCTGGAGCACCGCCATATTTATTGGCGACCCACCGTTGTCGTGTTCCTATAAATCAAAGGTGCCTTCGATTCGGTTGATCGATGTGCCCTTTGGGACTGTCTGCTCAGGAAAGGTGTGCCCGAGAAATAGGTCAACATTATCTGAGCGGTGTGTGCGCATAAGTCGGGCAGAGGGAGGGTTTATGACATGTCGTCGCCCTTTAATATCTCCAGCGGGGTGAGACAAGGATGCCCGCTGTCACATTTCCTCTTCAACTTCGCTATTGACGGTCATAGAAACAGCGTTCGCTGGACACGATATACAGGGTGTGGAGCTGCTTCCTGGTGAGCAACTTCTGGACTTGGAGTATGCTGAAGACATTGCCTTCATAAGTGGCAGCGCCCAAAGGTGCCAGGCAGCACTAGCTGCCAATAGTTTTGGGCTGTGCTTTGCTTCCTCGAAATGTAAAGTCCTCCAAAATTGACAGAAACCCGCCCCTGCGCTGACCGTCAGTGGTGATCAGCTAGAAGCCGTTCAGGAATTCAAGTACCTGGGCAGCTATATTAGTGCCTGTGGGATCGAAGCTGAGACTACAAACCGTATAGCAAAAGCTCGAGGTAGTTTTGCCAATCTCTGATACCTGTGGCGTGGATGCGACATCACTCTCGCCCTGAAGGGCCGAATTTATAAAGCAGCCGTCCGTTCAACCCTCCTATAAGGTTGTGAAACCTGGCCCATCAGGTCGACAGATATAAAGAGACTAGCCACGTTCGAGCATGGCTGTCTTCGCAGCCTAGCTCATGTCTGCTGGGAGCAGCGCATGAGCAATGTGCGTGTTCGGCGTCGGGTATTTGGTGCAAGGAGAGTTAGTGATCTGCTCAGCACCATTAGATCACGCACCACGTTCCGATGGCTGGGGCACGTGTTGCGCATGTCAGCCCACCGACTCCGCTTCGTGCGTGGTTTGCGCGCCTGGGGTATGGATGGAATAGAAGAGAGGCCAAGCACTGATTTGGTCAAGAGAAATGAAAGCGCTAACTCCGAAGTTGGCGCATCCCGACTGTCGGGCGGGGGTCCGAAGGACGATGAACATGTTTGGTCGGACACACTTGGTGATATGGCTAGGAGCCGGCCGCAATAGCGTTTGTGCCGTATTTTTGTCCATCCCCCTCTCCTTTAGATTCCTCCTCCAAACACGCTCTCAAAGCAAATTAATAGTATGATAACTAACATTATATTAATTGAGTTGGTGAACTTTTTGTAGTGTTATTTTGTAGTATCTTAGCTTTTTGCATTGCGGCACATTAACTGAGGCGCGTTTCTCGCCCTCAGCTAACGTGTATTGGTTATGGTGGAGATGAAAAACGAAAGTAAAGGAAAGATGAAGTGGGAAAAGAAAAAAGGACGGAACGACTGACAAAAAACGTTAGTTTCAATGAATACGCAGTTGCACGGTGCAGACTACTGGCGTAGCTCATAGGAAACTCCAATTGAGAAGACGCAATGTACCGACCCACCATACAGGAGCAATGATTTAGACGCCTTCACCGTTTAGGTAGCCGTTTTAACGGACAGTAACAATAGAGTAGCGATGCATAGATCTCTAACATGGCATCAAACAAACCGAAAGCACTATAGTGAAAGTTGCGACCGACGTGGTGGGTAACTTTCAGGTCTACTAATAAAAACTCCAACTCTATTGCACACCATGTAGATCAGTTTTGGCATTCAGATAAGAGTATGACCCTAGGAATGCTCGAATGATGGCAAAGGACGAATGCTTGGTGAAACCAAGCTGTTCCAGAAAAGAGCGATTCTACGTGCTCTATGCAGGATATGTTGTGGTCACGAACTTCGTAACCAGGTATTTTGCGTCGATCCTGTTTAACTTCGGTTGATTTACTCATCGCCGCTAAATGAGTAGCTACGGGATATTATGGTATGCTCAGAGAAGGTACTCCAGATCATTCTACGCGATTGGTTCTTTTACCCGTGTTAGATCCCTGTTGATCAACAAGTCCCACATGATGTCCCTTAGTCTGTAGGTTGAGCTATAGTAAATGTTCTGGGATTACTACATATCAGCCCATTAACACGGATTAAGCGCGATTACAAAGGCAAACAAGGGGTGTGACCCAGCTGTTATTACGTGAACAGATGAACGAGATCACGGTTTTGATTTGGCCTGGCTTAATGCAGCTTCCGCAGTGGAAACACCAGATACGTGGAGACATAGCCAATGGAAGGCAGTGATGGAAAAGGTTTCAAATTCCTAAGGAAACACTGATGATAGTAATAAAGGAGCTAAATCAAGTTGTCCTCTCTACGAACACACATTAAATACGATCAATGGCAATGTTTCCATTCGTACTCTTTTCAACTAACCAAATTGCAAATGGAAAGAAAACGCCTTTTGGATTGGATTACTCCCAGGAAAACCGTAATTAAATGACCATAGGTGGGTTGCAGAGCACCAATAGTAACCTAAACCGCACACCGTATATTCGGCGCATGCAAGAGGGTGTAGAAGGGCGCAAGCAATGTGGACCGGGATAGAAATCGACTTGAAAACTTAAAGCAACGTAGAGACGCTTTTGCGTCTCTACTTCAATGTCATGAACTGGTTTCTGAGATGGAGCAAGACTGATTGATTGGACGGATAAGCTGCTATAAGAGTGAAAACGCATAGCGCCTGGGTGACACGATAAAAAGTTTCTTGAGACAAAAGTGTAGTCACAGGAGTGCATTATATCATCACTCCTGGCGGACAACAGATGCCTGGGGGCTTCAATTGACGCACATGTGTCAGACAAGCGTAAATTCGGATCATTCTGGTAAACCTAATATTGCATGCATATAAGTAGCAGATTGGACTGTCATAGTTGTGTTTCCATCCGAATGAAATCACAATGAAACGGAATCCCAAAATTTAAACATATGTAAGAGCGGGAGCATGTGAACAAGATCGTAGAACGATAACTAGTGAAGGAGAGGAATAAGTGCAAGCCATAGAAAATAACGACACTGTATGAACGCGAAATAAACAAGAACGTCGTAAATGTCTGCACCGACGGATCATAAAGACAGAGGAGCAGCGAAAATCCAAGTAGAAACCTGAGCAAGTAATAGAACGATAACACTGCAATACAAACGAATTTTGATTCGGTCTCACATCTTCCGGCCGCGTGGACAATCACCGACATCAAAAGTGGAAACGTTTACCAGGACAAATGTATTTTGAAGCATTTGAAGTGTGAACGAGTCGCCAAAGAGTAGGAGTCCAAAGAAGGAGCTAATGTGTTATCCGACGCCCGGAAGGCACTGCTGAGTAGTTGGTGGATCGTTTAAGAATAGCTCACTAGAACAATCACTGCTTGCCAAGCCGTTGACTCGTTCAATGATTATTTATCAGTACTCGTATCCTTGTGACGTATAATACGTGCGTCGCACTACGAGGCACCTCGATAGTTGGATTAACGAGTACATCTGAATGGGGTTTCAGAAAGTGATGAGGAAACAGCTCCATTACGCCGCATCTTCCTGACTACGGCCATGTAGTATCCGAGCGGAATTACAAAGTCGCTTTCCTTCGGCCGATCGGTGGCCGAAAGGACAAGGCGCCTCTGCCTTGCAACCCGGACGTCTCCGGTCCGAGCCTGTCTAGGGACCGGGTGACCCTCGCAGTATACTTAGCCCACATGCGACCTGTGGTGGCTGTGCGGTAGCAAAGCGTCAGTATTGCGTACCGGCGCACTGTTGGTGCCATTTCACTAATTAATGCCTAAATGGTTCCTACGACCTCTCCGCAAACAGTTCCTTTGCCTATCGTTAAGGTAATACCCGTTCACCACATGAGGGCGGAATAATGCGTAAAGTGACAGCACGTTGGTAGGTTGGATAAATGAGACCTAGATTTGATCCTTCTACATTGTTTTGTCATTCGCTCGCACTCAGGTTGAAGACTCACTCAGGGTAAATGAAAAACTCGAGGACATCAGTGGGTCGGATAAATAAGTCTCAGCGTTAAGCCTCTATTGCGTCATCTCCTATATTCGGTCAGATGCAAGACGCATGTGTGCCTAGGAAACGTGGACACAATGGGACTTTGAACACTTGACACTCCTACACTAATCCATCTAGCTAATGTTACTCCTATTCTCCCTTGCTATCTGTGCGGAGCACATCAATTTTGCAGTTGACTTTACGCGGCAACTCGTTGCGTAAGTGTTTTCTTGTTGTCGGCACTCTTGTCTCGAAATGAGTGTCGCGAAGACTGTGCACTCCGTGTTCTCCTGCAACGATCAAGTCACCTGGAGCAAGTAATCGAGATGGCGGTACTGTACAAGCAGGCAACTTATTAATCTTCGCATTAAGGGCAGCCAAACCTGGGTTATGAACAGACAAACGCTGCCAAACATATGACAACACAAACTTACAAACACATGTACAGACGGAGGATGCAGCACACGTAACCCAAGTACCGCGTGACTGACCTGTGTTAGTAGATGAAACCAGAAGCAAGGTACATGGGCCGCGTTGACACCTTTTCATGCAACTAATCTGTCAGCCCTTCGATGTTAGCTCGCAGTGGCCACGTTGATGACTTACAGAACCGGCAAGGCTGGGACGCAGACGACCGCATTTGCTACAGCACCGAGTGCATATGTATATTTACACAAACATGTAGTGGAAAGAAACAATTACCTCGATATCAACCCGTCAAAGGGTAATTTCTTCCAGCCAGAATCGTCCGTGGGTTCATGTTCGTCTGCTGTCGATGACGCGTTGAGTGGCCGTTGTTCCCCTGCAGCAGATTCCTCAACATCATCGTCGTCGAAGGGATTCAGTGACTTTCTCGGCTTAGCCTTTTTATTTGACAACACATCACTCAAACTAGGTTCTGGGTTGGAAGAGATCTTGTAAGTTCCGTATACTTTATTTAGACTCGATTCAAAAGCAAGAGTACGCTGCAATCCAAATATGATAAGATTATGTGTCAGCTCTGCTTGGCGGCGTTTCATAACAGTCTCCAAGTCGGCTTTGGTAATACGGCAAAATTCAACACATAATCTGCAAAGGAAAATGGAAACAAGTGAATATGGCTAGGTAGTTTTAAAAGAGTGTTGTAAAGCTGCCTTCGTACTGCTGCACTGCTGCTGTTCTGCGCCTGCGAGACTATGACCGCTGGATTGCTCAGTCGCGCGCCCAACCAACCGACGGAATACAGAAGGCTAAGGCTCGGTAAACAGGGAGTCTATTCTACACGATAGGTCAGTTCTATTTATTGGTGAACGAAACATACTAATTTTGGAAGCGTTTGACTCTCAGCCAATGTGAGTTAATTCCGTCCCACGGATTTTCCATATTTGGCAGAATGGTTCGCCTCCGTTGGCTCGGGCTTGTATTTGCTGGCCAATCAGTTTGCACCCGATTCTAGAGAGGTTTGAAACATTTACTCATTGTAGTTTTCATTCTATTCCATTAATTTAATTTTTCCATGTTTGGTCAAGATTGAGCCAGTTTGATGAGGTGATGGATTAAAACTTTAAGATAAACAATTCTACCCACGTAAGGCCGATCGGCACAGACTCACTGGCAAGAAAAGATAGTAATGGACTAAAAAGCGAGTCTTTTTGTTAACGGCCTATCACATAACAGTGGCCAAAAATAGGATCCTCATGAACTCGGCCTATTGTTTAAAACAGCGAGTCAAAAACCCAGCCAACATGATGAAGGAAATTATATGCTTTCAACCCATATTAACATATGGCCAGATGAGACGTGGAAGTGCGGATGAAACCTCTCGAAGACTACCTCGCATGAAAGCAAGTCGGTTTCATGGGTGGCCGTGTTACTTTAACTGAACTGCTGGCTATGACCACATTTATTCCTAGCTCTACTTTCTGTATTTTTATTATCTTTAAGCAATTGAACACCCCAAAAACAACTCTAGGAACCACTTTGTACAATTCAAAAATTTTACCTACCATCCGAGTAGGTTGTACATGATCAGACAACGTAATTGGACTGCGTTTCGCACCATTGAAAATTATACCATTTATTTATTTATTTACCAAAATGTCTTCGTGGTCGTTAGCATATCGCAGGTTAGAATCGATAGCTTTTGATGGCAAGCAGATGCTTGGTCCACCCGGTCATCTCCTGTGATGCTAAGTATAGATACCGACCAGGCTTCGACATGTGAATAATCACAACGACATGGAGATAAGTGATAAGGAAAACATAAACGGACAAGACCAGATAAAACGGTGCGCCCAGAATTAAGATGCGTATGGTGAGTAGTAACCACAATGTCATCATTTAGGTGGCTGTTTCCAGGCCAGGAAACTGTCGCAGATATGAAGGACGATGGCACCTTAACATCGATGCGTTTCCAATGAAAGCATGTTGCGCACATCAACCGCTACCAAAGTTGGGTACTACAGATCGGTCACCTATAGCACATCAGTGCTTTACGTGTCAAAGGTGATGTTGATGCCACCATCTTGAGGGGGAAAATTCGTCGATTTTGACCACGACGTAGCGTAAAACGAGATTCCCTCATCCTATCCAGATCAGATATTGCTTCTCTGAAGCATTTCACGAGTAAACACATTTAGACCACACTGTACATTATCAGCTCGACTCGTACCTTAGCCCTACACTTCCGTGCTTTTCATCTAGTGGACGGCGCTGTAGTATTCAAGTAACGTGTCTCACACTGGGACATAGCTCAGTTTTATGAAAGGCTAACATACCCGATGGCGATCGAAATGTAACATCGGTAACACGGTGTAGACAATAAACCTTGCAGCAATTCGGAAATGTGATGATACCATAAACATGGCAGAAACCTCAAGCATATGTGCTGTCAGCAGCTAGTATTGGTTCGGTTGCAGTTTCTGATCAGTGGGCAGAGGGAGTATGCAAGGATTCTGAGTGCAGCCCACATAAAGATGTACGCCCCTGTGTAACTGTTTAACAGGGAACAGAACAAATAATAAGCAACAAACGACGGGTAAACAGAGCGAAGCGAAAGACAACGCACACTCACTCTTCTGTTACGTGCCAACCCGGAGGAAAGATAGTCTGAAATTTTCGTTCGATAGTGGGTAGATTGGACCGCAACCATGCGTAGCGGTGGTCGACCTTGTCAATCCAAGCGGCGGTTTGCGTTGGATCGAAGAGTTCGCGATATTCGCCCAGCTGACGTGAAATGAACCAGGTAAGTAAAGTAGATTTGATGCGAAGGTCATCCGGCAATACGCCGACCAACCGGCACCCGGCTTGTATCAATGGTGCGTTGTCCGTGAGACAGCGATTTCCCTGGAGCACAAAACAGTGATGATGGTGAATAGGGGTTCAAAAGTAACCAGTGAAGTTTATGCATATCGATCAACGGACACGCAAATGCTGGCACTACGATAGAGCGTTGTGATGGGTCGCGCTACACAGTTTTACTGTTACCCAAGGTATCGCCTAGGATGGGTTGACAGATGCACCAAGCGAGAGATGAGTATCAACCTGTTAAGGGCTGACAGTGACTCGATGGTATGAACCAACATCAAAATGATCGATGAGAAGAACCATGTGTAACTTGCCCTTAACCGCAGTGTAGAAAGAGGAAATAGGCAGCGCAGGTTGAACAAATTAAGAGACAAATCGCATGTGACTGCTAGAACACGTGAGCGTCGCTAATACTCGATATCCGGGCCATTGTCATTACGACAATGGCCCCGACATTGAAGCAGCCACCTCGACGATGTGCTGATTCTGGAAGAGAGGCGTCAGCAGTACGCCGGTACGCAGTACCAAAGCTTCGCAGCCGCGCAACCACTACCAGCCACATGTGGGCTAAGTATATTGCGAAGGTTGCCCGGTCTCTACACAGGCTCGAACCCGCGCCCTCGGATTACAAGACAGGCTTGCGATCCTTAAGGCTACGGGCCGACTTGATTATGGGAGGTGATTGACCTGGGCATTTAGGCTGTTAGCAACAATCATGAAGTAGGTACTCTTGAGTAGTTGGATTAAAGAGAAGGGATACTGATAAGGCACCGGGCCACAGTCGGTTGGAATTCAGACGTGAACGACAAAGAAACACTCTATTTTCAGTCGCTATTTATTAACTCTATTGGGACTTCGAAGTCGAGTGGCACATTGATGTCCAGTCTAGGAAAGCTGTCCACACATGTTGGCGAATCCAAAATCGTGTACGCCGCGAGCCATCGGCTCGGTGCCATTGGAGAAGCGAAGTGTGTACACCTCCTCAATAGGACATTGGTCTGGTATGTGGGGATGCGCTGGGATGTCGTTTCTTGCATATGCTTCGGAGACAGCGTGAATTAACTTCGAGGAATTGAAAAGTTGCAGCAACTGTCGCCTGTGGACCGATGAGACACAGCATGCAGGCGTTGGGATGAAGCACTAAGTTCGAAAGAGGACCCGCATCCTTGCTAGTGTGGTTGATGAAGTGGCTTCAGGCCGCTAAACTAGGGTACTGGATTGGTGGAAAATGGCGAAAACGTGGGAAGGGCAATGGCTACTGCTGAGTGTCTTGTGAGCGGAGGACGCTCATTGGACGCCGGTTCAGAGACAGAGGTTGTACCCCAGGCGATAGAACCGAAGCCATTGGCTCAATGGCCTGAATTAAGACATATTAATGAACAAGTCCAACCATGGGATACGACCGCAGAGTCTAAGTAAAAAATGCTTGAGTCCGACCACACACAGTGCTGAAGGAGGTCGTGCGGTACATGTAGCAACCGCTCGTCCAACACCGAAAATTACACACCAGCGACCATGTGCAAGCAAATCTTAGAGTCTGCATTCTAGTCAAAGAGGGTTTTTTGATTTGAGACAAGCGGTAGCAAACCGTTGAGATCTAACACCGCCAAAGACAACCGGTGGCGCTCGGGCTCCACGCCACTCGGGTAAAGCGTACGACACATGGACTAGTGTCTCCCATTGTTTGGTTCTAAAGCAGATCAATGGGCAACGAAAGGACCCAAACCACAGAGTTGGTAGCGAGCATGGAATCCCACTGGAACTCCAGTTGAATGTCCACAAGCTAAGCTAACTGGTTAGAATTGTCGCATACCTGTTAACAGTTACTCTGGGCGACCATAGTTTGATATAGCTCAGAAAGTTCTCCCTGTGGAAAATGTGGACATTTTACGTGAGCCATAGTTGAACATCTCAGATCGCGTCAGTATCTACAGTGGCGGCTAGTTTGCCAAATAACCTCCTCTTGGTGCCAGCTGGGTGGTTCGGATCTTTCCCGTTCTAGCAAATGGTTCAGCACCAGTGTTCCAGAAAGTGGTGGGTTAACACCTTGTAAGCGTTCTGCATATAGAAAGCAACATAGACCCGTTTGACAACACTGCGACGTGGCGGATATAAGACGCCACTAAATAAAGTCACTGCCCCTTGTTTCACTCCAGTGGAGCATTGTATCCAGTAACGCAAAGCTCAAATTTTTGGGTGGATTGGGCCCCTATTTTGCAACCGAGCAAACGAAAGTGGTATGAACTGAGCAATAAATGACCAGCACCCAATGGGCGCGATTCCCTGAATTCGGCCTGCTGCCTTGCGGATAGGCTATTTAGCCAAAGGCTCGGGGTGGTGGCCCCTAAGTCAACACCCTATTTCGGCTTGAGGTAGTTAGTATCTCGCTCTCTGAGGAAACCATGGATTTCTCTGTATTGTGTACAGTTTTCTCTTTTTGATAGATCTTTGTCTATTCGTAGACTGATGCAAATATATATTACAGTGGTGTTGAACAGTAAAAGTCATCAGAAGTACGCCGGCACACTGTACCGACGTTTCGCTGCCAACCGACCACCACCAATTATGTGTCCGCTTAGTATACCGCGAGGACGCTCGCGCCTACGCGAATTCGAACCGGTGACCTAAGGATTGTAAGTCAGGCGTGCAATCATTTCGGCCAAGGGGCGACCAGTGGTGTTGAATATCTTTCGGAAAAGTCGCGTTCGTAAAAGCAGTTAGATGCCTTTAGTGCTACTCGATTTAATGGCAGAGTCCTTTGTGTAGTGTTATCTTGTGAAGCCTCACAACACCAACATGCAGCTCCAGTCCGGGAGATGTCGTTGATCTGGATGACATCGTCATGCGGTTTGGTAAGCACGAGACGACAGCCGACCCACGACAAGCTCTTCGGAGCAATCCCATCGCCCGGCAACAGCACTATTTATAAGGTGCAACGTGAATTTGCAATACCACTAGCCGATTGTTAGTATTCTGATACTTGAAGAGAAGTTGTGGACAGTTGGCCGATTAACTGATCATAGAAAATGCATTTACAACGATGGACACACGACCATTGAAACTGGCCCATGCACTGTGAAACCAAGAACTATCTCTATGAACTTACGATATCGCAGGGATGATGTTTGTAGAATAAGAACGAGCGCCGTTCTCATCTACGACAGTGATACAGGGCGATCCAATCTGAAGCACAGTTAAGCCCTTGGCAAACGTTATTTGCGGAAAGCTGCTGGTGGTCGATGACACTAGCGTGTCCACAAAGGTGAGCACTAAGCAGTGGTTTTCTGGTCACTTCCCTAGATGGAGGAATAAAGCTGATTGTGTTGACTAGGGAACGTGTTACGTGGTTCGCCCACGCTAAACGATGGGGGGAAGTAGTTCAGCTAGGTGATCCGGGATAACATAAGGCTTGGGGTGAGCAAAATTTGGATTGGCCTATGGAGTATCGCTGGTCCATATCACCTTCGGGAATGAGTCCAGGAGACTCTACGGGACATAGCTCACAGCTGATATCAGTGTGGAATCGGTAGTCATCTCCTAGTTTGGGAGTAGGTAGCTGTGCAGTAAGGCCAATTATGACATCAACCAGTGAGAATCGGAAAATGTTGTCACGACGATGCTGGCTTATCTTTGCACGGTCCCGGAACTGAACCGACCTATAATTGGTTCTGCGGAGCTGTGCGCCAGCGGGCGGGTCCCCAGGTTGCGGGTCGGGGAGTGCTTTCCTTGCAAAGGTAACTGAATAGGTTATGACTGTTCGCATGCGAGATAAATAAGCAATCGCGGATAATCAGCGGCAGCGTCCTAGAGTGTGGGGGGTACTGGGCTGGGTAGCTGGTTCCACATTAAATACCACAAGAGGTCGCAAGTCGATGTGTCAAATCCAATGTGACCGGCTATAGGGTCACTGACCACTCACTTCTGGTCACAAAAGTGAGTACTTAACGGAAGGCGGCTGAACAACCTCGAACGCCACCGGCTTCTATGAAGGCGTATGAGCCACGCGGCTGTCAACGGCCTTCATGCTTCGCCGCGAGAATCTAGAGAATCTTGGTCTCCTTGCTGCTTTACTCGGACTCTTTGAGCATCCTGAGTAGTTTGCCTCTACTCGAAAGCCGTTCTATCCTCCCCTAGATACCCGGCTCCCAACGGTTCGTCCCGTTGCCTTGCAAATTAGGTCTGTTATGATCCAAGGCTTCGGGTGGAGTCCGCTAAGTCAACTCTCTTCCTCGGCCTGGGCAATGTTTCGCAGACAACGAGGATCAAATACTTGAAAGTGCCTCAGATCTTCAGACCGAAGGGGCCAAGTCTCACTACCATAGAGCAGAATGGCCCTCACTGTGGCCTTGTAAACACGGCCTTTCAGACGAAAAGAAACTCCCTTCTGTCGCCAAAGATGCCGCAGGTTCAAGAAGGTCTGGAGTAGGTCTGGAGTTTGCAATGCGTGAGCTGACGTCAGTTTCTATGCGCCCATCATTGCTGATGCAGCTGCCAAGATAAGTGAAATAATCAACCACCTGAAGACCCCCATCACTTGGTCAGCCGTGGACACAAATTGACCACATCGCCATTAGCTATTGCTGGCAGGGCTGCACACAGGATTGCAAATTAATCTGGAGTACCTATCTCATTTCGGACCACGCGCTGATGTCTGCGCTACGCTTTGATGGCTCCCAGCAGAGTCGCCGGAAACGGTTTGACGTAGGTAAACTTTCTGCCCCGAAAGTTTTCCGCGCATTTCAAGATGCCTTGGCCTCAAGGTTGAAGACGGTCTCATGCACAGACGTTGAAACACACTGGACTAACATCCGCGGCGCTATGTACAACTCTGCAACCCGGGTCTGTGGCATCATCTGTAGTCCTGTCAGCCACTAGATCTCTGCATCATGCCTCCAACTTCTCGAAGCCCGTCGAGCAATTTCTGCTAGCGTTAACTACCATTCACTACGAATGACTGCTAACGCTGAGCTTAAACAGCTTCTCTGGGAAGATAACAAGGTCTGGTGGACGCATGGGGTTATTGAGATGGAGAAAGCAGCCACCTCGGGGAATTTCCGTAAGCTTTTCCTCTTGATCCGATCTACTGGTAGAAAAAAGGCCGACTGTAAGCGAAGTTTTATGCGAAACCAATTGTGAGCTAATCCACTCCCAAAATCACTCACTCGAGCGTTGAGCCAAGCATTTCGAGCAGCAGTTTAATTGGGCAGCAGCATCAATGAGTTCCCATTCTGGAGTCCAGAGTGCTGCCTGGAGTGTAGACGCTTCACTACCATCTGAGGCTGAAACTGCGCATGAGCTTTGGCCCTTAAACCGCTACAAAGCCCCTGACTCAGATGAACTCCGACTGGTTCTTTTCAAAGATGTAGACACATCACTATTCCGTTAACTTCTCTCCTCCTCAGCGAACAAGCTGAGAGCGTGTTGGGTTGTTTACAATCTTCATAAAACATCTAGGTCTTTGGAATTGTACTTTCATTCAACAACGCACGGTAAACCCTGATTAACACACCACGTGATCCACATGTCGACGGCAAAACCGCGTTTGATCTCTAACCATGGCAGAGCCGCAGCATCAAAGTATGTGATAACCATGGGCAATTGATGTAGCAATTTATCGCACACCCACTCAGAAAGCGGACATACTTATGTCGATCAAGCCACCACACACAACTGGACGACCAGACAACAGACGAGTATGCTTCCATCCGCGAGCTCAGGGCTTATCGCTGCCGTCGTCGCAACCACGTCGCAGCCGACATGGACTCAGCCGCCATACAAGCACATGCGGTAAGTCTCTTTTATGTACCATTATTAGCTGTAAAAGAGCATCATGTATATTAGTGTTTAATATTCTGATTTTGTAACCAGTCTTGATTTAGGCGGCACTAATACATGTGAACGACACGGTGACCTTTGGGTGCAACGCAGCACTCTAAAATGAGACTAAAAAAGAAAAAAAGCATAAGCAGCACGCCGGTACGCAGTACCGACGCTTCGCTGCTACGCAACCACCACCAGTCGCACGTGGGCTAAGGAAGCTGCGAGAGTCACCCGGTCCCTACGTAGGATCCAGCCCATGCCCACGGATTACAAGGCCAAAAACCGGCCACAGAATGATCAAAATGCGCTTGGCACCTTCGTGCCGAAAGAGCCCGCAGTCGAACCAGGTCGACATGCCACCTACTCTCACGATCGAAATGGTTGGCGGGTTTACGTTTCTAGATCACGGTGTGCAACTGTAAGGTCGGGGAAGTTTCCCAGGGTCAAAACCCCTCTGGGGAAGGAGTTGATCAGGTCAACACGGTCATTGCGAGTGACCACTGACCAGTAGTGTATGCTGGACACGCAGTAGACAAAGTGGAAGTGCCATGTTAGCGAAAATGGGACGCTCGGTTTGAGGTCCAACAAAACAGATTTTGCGCTTGCACCGCCTACGATGGTTTGGTTATGTCCTTCGAATTCCGGCTGTTCATACATCTAGACGTCTGTCATTCTCGGACAGTGGGCTTAGTTGGGCGAAGTCGCAGGGTGGCCAAACAATGATATTGTGGTGTACCGCTAATGAGTATTATGTGGGAAAATGATCTGGTATGAGGAAATTAGCGTTCTCAAATACACAACCCCACTGCACCGCGTTGCGTTCCCAACACTACGACAAATTAACTGATGGACATGTTAGTCTATTTGCAGGTGTTGATTTCCAGACCCGGGTTTAGGGAATGGCCACACGGTAGTCGAAGAGTTGGTGCTGATCCGGTGTTTGGCGCATGGAAGTTTCTAGCAAACCATCTCATCTGACAAACTTTCTGCTGTGTGTTTGTGTAACATCCTCTGCATTAGCTTCATTTCCCAATGCAACCACTCTATTGAAATTATTGAAAGTTGCGGCAGAGGAACAACACAGCTGAACTGTTAACAAGCACTGTGATATGACACGGCGACTAGAACAGCTGATGAGCGAAATCCTGCAGCGAGGTATTGTGCTATGATGCGGTAAATGAACTCATGGAATCAGAGCGGAGCAGCTAATGCCTTGGCAGTGAAAACCCAAAAAACCAAGCCCAGAACGATATGAAATCATCTCTGTCGGCAGTGCAAGGCAGACAAACTGGGTTTCAAAAAAAACCGTAAATTGACAGAAGTTTCCCCTTACAGCAAGCATGATTTTGAGTTCCCGAAGCACCTTTTCGGCAAGGACAGAATGGATAGTGTCCAGTTCTCGATCCAAACCCTTCACAGACGGAATAGAATCGTAGGCGGCAAGCATGGGACGCATAAGGTGCTCTGCCTGGGAGACTAGGTTGGACACCTCGGAGACGAAGGACAAGGAGAATTCACCTGGCCTTTGGTTTGCGACCGAAGTGTTCCCAGAGTGCAACTCTACACACAAGAAGGGAAAAGATTTGGCGTGAAGTGAATTCCAACATAAAATGGCGGGTGAATAAATTAAGGAGTGAATTTGAGTGCATTACACCTGTGATTATACGCTTGGATGAAAAATTGCAACTTAACCATTCATAGTGGCATCGGTCGTGAATACGCGAACACAACTCATGTAAGTAAGCACTGATTGAGGTTAAACTTGCCAAAGACCTACTGTGACCACTAAAACGCTGCCGTTAAGCCACACTTACCAATCGATCCCGGATACTCCAAAAGACGAAGTAATAAATAATGTGTCAGCTGTACGCCGTAACGGTGCCTCGCTGCCACACAATCACCACCAGTCGCGCGCGGGCTGAGTATACCGCGAGGACGCCCATCCCTACGCGGATTCGAACCGGTGACCTTATGGTTGCAAAGCAAACGTGCAGACCACTCGGCCACCGGCCGACGAAGTGGATCCAAGGTGTACGGTGCTATTTACATAACATTAATTACCTAATACAACAAACCTCAATTGAAAGACTTCTAGGTGAGCAACAAATGCGTTAAAGAACCGCTCAACAAAAGGTTATCATCGACCGTTTGTCAACCATCAAAAGTGTGTACGAGCGTTTGGGTAAATTACATAACCGATACCGTGTGTGGACAAACGCTCAGTGGAATGCGACACACTCCGGCGCGATGAGCTGTCACGTTTGGCGAATGGGATGAATTACCAAAAGCGGCCGTCTGATGCATGGTGGACGATCGAGGTCATTAAGCGGTTGCGGACATGCATGGGGTATCTATCTATCTATCTATCTATCTATCTATCTATCTATCTATCTATCTATCTATCTATCTATCTATCTATCTATCTATCTATCTATCTATCTATCTATCTATCTATCTATCTATCTATCTATCTATCTATCTATCTATCTATCTATCTATCTATCTATCTATCTATCTATCTATCTATCTATCTATCTATCTATCTATCTATCTATCTATCTATCTATCTATCTATCTATCTATCTATCTATCTATCTATCTATCTATCTATCTATCTATCTATCTATCTATCTATCTATCTATCTATCTATCTATCTATCTATCTATCTATCTATCTATCTATCTATCTATCTATCTATCTATCTATCTTATCTATCTATCTATCTATCTATCTATCTATCTATCTATCTATCTATCTATCTATCTATCTATCTATCTATCTATCTATCTATCTATCTATCTATCTATCTATCTATCTATCTATCTATCTATCTATCTATCTATCTATCTATCTATCTATCTATCTATCTATCTATCTATCTATCTATCTATCTATCTATCTATCTATCTATCTATCTATCTATCTATCTATCTATCTATCTATCTATCTATCTATCTATCTATCTATCTATCTATCTATCTATCTATCTATCTATCTATCTATCTATCTATCTATCTATCTATCTATCTATCTATCTATCTATCTATCTATCTATCTATCTATCTATCTATCTATCTATCTATCTATCTATCTATCTATCTATCTATCTATCTATCTATCTATCTATCTATCTATCTATCTATCTATCTATCTATCTATCTATCTATCTATCTATCTATCTATCTATCTATCTATCTATCTATCTATGCTTCTATCTATCTTCTATCTATCTATCTATCTATATCTATCTATCTATCTATCTATCTATCTATCCTATCTAGCTATCTATCTATCTATCTATCTATCTATCTATCTATCTATCTATTTATCTATACTTATCTATCTATCTATCTATCTATCTATCTATCTATCTATCTATCTATCTATCTATATCTATCTATCTATCTATCTTCTATCTATCTATCTATCTATCTATCTATCATCTATCTATCTATCTATCTATCTATCTATCTATCTATCTATCTATCTATCTATCTATCTATCTATCTATCTAGCTATCTTTTCTTTTTCAATACCAAAGACAACCAATAGAACACCATCGACTACTGACAAAAGCGCACCTTGACGCTTTGAGAGAACTTCAGAAAAACGAAGATCTCATCATAACCAAACCAGACAAGGGATCTGGGACTGTGCTGATGGATCGTGCAGATTACATCAAGAAAATGAAAATGATACTCTCGGACACTTCACGTTTCGTGAGATGTGAACAACAGAAAGATAAAACAGAATGTGTAGAAAATCAATTGATCAAGTGTTTGAAATCACTAGTGAACGACGGCGCCATCACCAAGGAAACGTACGACCGACTTCGTCCCATAGGCACCATTACTCCTCGCCTTTATGGTCTCCCAAAAATACATAAACCTGACACACCATTGAGACCCATACTAGATATGAGGAATTCACCGTACCACAACATTGCGCAGTGGCTGACAAAAATGCTGAATCCCATCAGACAAATGATTGCTCCTCACAGACTGGCAGATACATCCCAGTTTATCAACGAAATTAGAGATATGAATGTCCAAGAACATCGGATGTTTTCCTTAGATGTTGTTTCATTGTTTACCAACGTGCCTCTGATAGAAACAATTAACTACCTGTGCTCATACATCGACCAGCATGGTATAAATATCGGTATAGGAAGCAACCAACTGAAAGAACTGATACTCAGATGTACGTACAACGTTCAATTTCAATTCAATAGTGAGTTTTATAGACAGGTTGATGGCGTTGCAATGGGCTCCCCGCTTGGTCCATTGTTAGCGGATATTTATATGGGAATGCTAGAAAACGGTCCATTAAAACAGGTCATATCCGGTCTGAAGTTCTATCGGCGCTATGTGGATGATATAATTTGTATAAGTGATTGGACCACCAAACCCCAAGATATAATCGACTGTTTCAACAATGCGCACCCCAATGCCGCATTTACAGCTGAAGAAGAAAACAACAACCAAATGAATTTTTTTGGACGCAAGTCTTATCAGAAGAACCGATGGATCAATCCAAAGAAAAGTATACAGGAAGCCATATTGGACTGGACAATACATGAACTTTCATAGTTTCGCCCCACTCAGCCAAAAAAGAACGCTGGTACGAACGCTAACCGATCGGGCATATAAAATCTGCAGCGAAGATACAATAAAAGCCGTACTCGCACGAATCAAAGAGGCGCTTCTCGAAAATGGATATCCGGAGCGATTTATCGAGACCCATATGAAGCGATGCATACCAAAAGTATCAAAACAAATCGTTGAAAAGAAACAGCTTTACTTGACACTTCCATTCAAAGGAAATAGTGCGGCTGAAACATGCACACGCCGACTACAGCAAAGCTGCAAAAAGACCTTTAATGCGGCTCAACTGAATGTGATTTTCACGAGCAAACCTTTACTAGTTCCGAGATTCAAAGACCGAGTGCCTGATCATCTCCAATCGATGTTAATCTACCGGTTCACCTGCCCGTGCGGGGCTAGGTACGTTGGACGGACGACCAGGCATCTAGGTAAGAGAATTAAGGAACACCTGCCAGGTTGGCTCTACACGCGCGAGAATAGAACAAACTACAGTGCGATTACAAACCACCTAATAAACACAGGTCACCAGATAGACAAACGAACAGCCTTTCAAATTCTCTACAAAATACCATCAAGACAAAATCATCGTCTAAGAGCAAGCATACTCGCCACCGCTGAGGCAATATGCATACGTCTAACAAATCCGAACTTGTGTGTTCAGAAGAAACTAATACAAACACTACAACTTCCCTGGCCGACCACCAGCCGTGAAGGAAGTAATGGTACTCCGCAAATTCACCTGACCTCAGTCAAGTGATCAGATGAAGGCCATCAAGATCACAAGTTAAATTGTCTAATCAATTGTTTCTTTGTTACACTAACGATTTCAGCAGACGTTAACATAATGTATATTACTGTATGAGCCTGATGAAGAAGTAATCGAAAACAATTGTTTGCTCAAAGCTTCGTGTTTTGTTTATCTTTCGAAACTTGACGTAACAAATGGGCATTCTACTTGAATCTATCTATCTATCTATCTATCAATCTATCTATCTATCTATCTATCTATCTATCTATCTATCTATCTATCTATCTATCTATCTATCTATCTATCTATCTATCTATCTATCTATCTATCTATCTATATATATTATATATATATATATATATATATATATATATATATATATATATATAGGGTTGGCGGCATCCGGTTTCGGATTTGCCTGTCACTTTGGCAAGCCACAGGACGCCTGCGCCTACAGAGGGACCATGGATGGCTTGCGCTGCACCACCCACAGCTCCAACCACATACCCCATATCCAGTGTAAACCCGAAGGAATAAGACCGGGAGGCATGCGGATGGGAACCACGTTTCATCAACGGAGCCGGCCCACACTCCTTCACAGGCAAACACAAGCACACTGTATTTGGGGAATCAACCGCACACAAGGCGGTGGCTGGACCGTAGTCCGCTCCACACTGAGTGCATGGAACCACTCTTCGAGCCTAACACGGCCACAAGGACCGCGCACCCCGTCCCCTCCAGCAACGACCAACTGTCTCCTGGAGCCAGTATGGACGAGGTAGTGGGTAATAGACAGGTAGGCACCTTGTCAACATGCACATCAAGCGCAGCCACACCGGGGATATCAAACAACAGCCAAACACTTGAGAGAAAGAGAAAGAAAAAGAGAAAAACTCGATTAATGCATAAGGAAACGGTGACATAAACCTTAATTAAATAGCATACGTAATAAGTTGTTTACAAACAAATCCTAGCTAAGTGCACGAGGTCAGGAATTATAGTTCACGGAATGCCACGAACACAAAAATGTTATGGAAATCGAATACAATTGGCTGAAGCTATGTGTGCAAGTTAATGGAATAGAGTACATGGAGATATTCATA